CTTACAAGAGGCGTCAAGGATACACAGAAAAATTAATACATATGTACTGTTTTAATACTGTAGTGTATTATGTAATTACAAAAGCATAACTGTAAAACTACACCTTTTTGAAGAAAACAGTCATTTGTGTTTGCTTCTTGCTTTGGAAGCATTTTCTCTTGATCCGAGATTGCATTTTTGTAGCATAAGTTTCTCGGCCAACTCCGCGTCGTCTTGTTCTTCCAAATAGCTCAGCAATCCATCGACTTATTGCAAAGCTTCGTGAGTCTTCCGCATCTGCACAGTGGGCTCTTCTTTGCCTTCACTTCGCTGTCCTTCATTCTCGGTTTCTCCCCTTGCTTTCTTCACAATTTCATCGTCTGTCAAGCGTTCAAAGACAGGTTCATTGACGTCACACTTCAACCACTAGTTAATGTTTTCAGCATCGACAGTCTCACCACCGGGAACTGTTTTCACCGTATCGGCAAGAGTTGCCGTGGACTTGTCTACATCTTCATTCTCTTCTTCACAACTCAAAAGGGTTAGGTTGTTGTTGGCTTCAACATTAGGCATGAGTTTTCTCCATGATTTTATGAGGGTTGACGGTTTCAATGAGTCCCATGCAGATGCAATATCGTAGATGTTGTCCAAGATTGTGTAGTGTTTCCAAAACTTTTCAGATCATAATCTTCTTCAATTTTATTCATAGCAGCTTGGTTCCATATGTTCTCTTCATTGTTGCAATAACTCTTTGGTCCATGGGTTGGATTAGCGTAGTAACGTTTGGGGGAAGAAACTTTGCAAAAATTCGTCCATCAGAAGACTTTAGCACGCTTGTTGCTGGGTGAGAAGGTACGTTGTCAATCAATAGCACAGCTTTTTCAGGCAGGTTTTTCGATTTAAGATGTTTACACACTTGAAGAACAAAGATGTTTTCAAACCTTTTTTGAAAATTGTTTCGGTTCATCCATCCTTGTTTTTTTGGTTAAAGTAATCAACGGGCAAATTTTCTATCCTTGTGTCTTTGAAAGATCCCGGTTTTTTTTACTTTCCAATGACAACAAGTCTAAGTTTATGTCCACTCTGGCGCTACTGAAAGACATGATAGTGATCCTTTCCTTGATGCTTTTATGACGTGCCGCTTTACTTTCATTTTCAAATGCTAAAGTGCGAGTGAGAAGACATTTCCACAAAAGTCCCGATTCGTCAGCATTGTATATTTGTTTAAAAGATAGCTCTTCTTTTAAAACAAATTCTTCAAATTCATGGTGGAAATCGTCGGCTGCTTGTTGCTTGTCAAGTTTCTCCCCATGAAGTCCAATTTCTCAAATTCCATGTCGCCCCTTAAAACGAGTCAACCAGGCAGAAGACACATCAAAATTTCCTTTCAAGCCTAACAACTCAAAAAAGGTTTTTGCCTTTGCCACAATGATAGGACCATTTACAGGAGTACCCTCTTTTTGAAGTTGAGCTAACCACTCTGTCAATACCGTGTCTAGCTCATCAAAGGTAGAACCCTTCATAGTTTTTCACGCTTTCATTGCAGAAGCACTGTCTGACATTGATGCAAAGTTCACCAATTTGTCTTTTTGCTTTAGAATGTCACACACTGTTGTTTCCGTGATTCCGTAATCCATTTCCATCTGCTGCCTTGTTGCTACTTTGGAAATTAATTCTAGTTTTTGCACAATCGTCAACACAACCTTCTTTTGTTTTCCTGACATTTTAAATCGGTAATAAAAAACACAAAACCAACAAAAAAGCACAAGCACTGAGCACAATAAAAGATAAGAAATTAACTCGGACCGGCTCACAAACACTATCAGGCTTAAACTCACAATGGCGAGTCGGATGAAGTGGACGTGTCGGTAAGATTAAGACGAGAGAGAGCAGTGGAGCGGACACTGCAAGAATGAGTAAGAAATCACTTACTCATCAGAGGGGCCGAGGGGAAGGTTACGAGAAGGCCTGAGATATTTTTACAATAAATAAGCACCATGTTATCAAATTGAACGTTTTGTTCAGTTTTGCAAACATTTTTATTTTCTTTGCTTTACGCTTGTTAAAAAAAAAAAAAAAAAAAAAAAACCTTTGTGCTGCAGGCGTGGATAATCCACTCGCGGATAATCGGGAGTCTACTGTACCAATATTTCAATGAGTTCATTCTGCTACCAGTGGGCCTTCAACATTATAGGATTCAAAAGAATGTACTTCCTATAACAGAGGCAATATAATAAAAGAAAATTTATAGCTATGCAAATTTCTTGAATGTAGGTGTAAATATATCTTTTAATGCAAGTGCAGGATTAACTTGAAAAACATCCATAATAATTTAACACATGTTTTCAAACACATCATGGCAAAAAAATTATGCCAGATTATGCACATGAAGAGTGTGAAAAGTTTACACATTGAAAGTTATAAACCCCAAAGACATTTCCAATGTTGACGAAATCTGAATGGGGTAAGACTTTATTTCTTTTTTAATTGTTTTCTAATAATACCACAATGCTTAAAAGATGAATAAATTTGCAATAGAACTATTAGTAAAGAATGCCTGACTGTAAGGAGTAAACATTTCTAGAATAGAGTACAGGTTACAAATAAATACAAGATCTCTCATTGTTTCAAGAATTTAAATTTTTTTCTCATATAATACAAGTTAAATAACAATGGGATAGTTCAAAGAGTACAACAGAAAAAAAGTGACACATGCAGAGGAAAACTTTTTTCACACACACTTTTTGACACTTCTTTTCACAGGAAAAAAGTGAAAAGTACAATTTTCATAACAATAATGTACAGCATTCTATGATTTTTTGCATTTGAAATCAACATGTTCTTCCCAAAGAAACAAATACAGCCAGCAGATAAGGGGATTATTAAATGTTTTAAGTGCTCTTATGTAAAACAGTGAGAACTGCACTTAATGATAATGACAGCAGAATAAACAAATATGACATACTGCCATAGAGGTAAGAAGATATAGAGGTAAATCATCATTCCCTTAGCATGATATAAAGAGGAAGGTTATTTAAATTCCTTTATTAAGCTTTTTGATAAGCAAGTACAAAATAATACCTTATAACAGGTATTATCAAATTATGCAAATATGAAAAATTTAAGGGATTTTAAATACTCATTATTAGCTTTTTTCATATGTTAACTACAGTTCCCATTTTCATATGGAATCACCATCTAAAAAAATAAATAGCTAACTAAAAAAGCAGTAAATCACACACTACATAATTACCAAAAAATCAATTAATTTTTATGTTTTATATTTTAATCACAGATTACTGTCATTATAAAATATTGATCAAATATGTTTTGAGGTACACAAAATCAACTCAATTGAAATTTCTTTTTTATTTCGAAGTTAGAATGGATTTTGGAATTTAAAATTTTAACCACTTATTTAATCAGATTCAAAATTATAAGTAAAAAATTTTTATTTCCCTTTCTGAATAAACTGTACATTAAGTAAATTACTTATAGAAAATATTATTTCTTTGGAAAAGCAAGAGTGATGCTAATAAAGATAAATCAATACTTTTAGAAGTTCTTTTTAATATATTTACTATTTCATCAATAGCAAAAAGTAATTTTAGAAAATGTATTATTATATTCAGAATCATAATTCTTACAGAACAAAAAATTAATATTCTGTATGTAAATGAAAAACACATAATTCATTGGATCATCTTAGGAACAAGAGTATAAAACATTAATTTATTTATGGCAACTTGAATGATAAATTTATAATATAAACTACGATTATCTCTTAGTTATTTACCAAGAGCAGGTTTTTTTTTTTTTTTTTTTTTTTTTTTTTTAATTTCTCATTTTGAATTAGTATTTACCACCTAGAAATTTCCAAATAGATAATATGTTTTTCATAATTTTTTATTATTGACAGAATTAATCACATGTTCATATAATCTTCATTTCACTAATGTTAACTTAATTATCAATCCATATTTAAATAGCTTAAAAAGGATTTAATTGCTTTAAAATCACTTCTCCCAGCCCAACACTGCCATTTACAGATATTTATTTATCAATAACTCAATTTAGACTTGCAAGTTATCAACACTTCTAAATTTATCTTTGATAAGTTTAGAAAGGTGTATAACAATAAGCTTAACAGTAATTTGGCAAAATACTTTAGTTTACCTTCAAAGTGGTATTTTTCAAGCATATTAATAAAAATGAAAATGAGTAGAGTTCTAGTAAATAGCAGTCAGACAAAGCCAAAAATGAATGAGGCAGCAGAACTTATTTGTGAAACGCACCAAAAGAGATTTCAACTAGGCAGGAAATGCTAGTTGTTTACAGATTCACTTTCTTCTTACCTTATATGTGTTAAAAGCTGCTTTTGAGTATCTGAAACAATGCTGTGGTAAAATTATAACAATTGCTTCAAGAGATGTGGTTTATATGTAAATGACACAGATCTAAATGTCGTCATGGGAAGCATGAACGACACCACAATTGAAGTTTTGATGCAAATGTCAATATTGAATTCCTAAACTCTGATGAATATAGAAGGAATGTTGCGCTGTGGACAGCAATGTTAATTCTGGGGATAATGGGGGAAAAAACTACATAGTTTAACCTCTGAGCAATAAAGAAACACATGTACCAATATCTGGAAAGCACAAGCAAAGCAGACAATTTTCTTTCAAATTCTCTCAATGAAATTAACATGTCATTTAAAAAAGACACATCAATTTTGTTAATAATGATATTTTATGTTACTCAAAAGTTATTTTAACACTAAATATCAATATATTAAAAAAGAAATACAGTTATGGTAAAATACACTAGCTTACATTTACTACTTTTGCTGAAATTTGAGGATAAGCTACTAAAATTGTGCCTTTCATCTCGTGGCCCCAATTAATTACCAGATATTTAATCTGCTAGAGATACTCATAGCCCCAAGCAGTTATAGTTTAACATAAAAAAGTAACAATAATATAATACAAATTACTCAAAAATTTCAGATTTTCTCTTACCTTTATTTCTTCTTCAGATGAAAATGTAAGAGAACAATGATTACATTTATAAAAGATATTAGTTGGATTACTAGGTGGCGTTTCAGCAAGTTTTGCTTCAGAATTTGTTTGTAATTTGGGACAAGTAGGTATATGATTCATCAATTCATGAGGATCACCATAAGGATATAGGCACTTTGCACATGACCATGTTTTAGGACCTAATTAAAAAGCAACCTTTAACTATACATGATAAGAAATTGCAAAGAATCTACAATAATGATAGAGAAAAGCAATACAATAGTAATAACTCTATAACATGATTTTTTAGGATCTAACTTAACCTTAGAAAGCTTGCATAAACTCATATCTTTGTAACATGAAATTAATATTTTGCATGTAAATGAAGAACACATAATTCGTTGGATCATCTTAGGAACAAGAGAATAAAACATTAATTTATTTACGGCAGCTTGAATGAAAAATTTATAATACAAACTACCATTATCTGTTAGTTATTTACCAAGAGCAGAAATTGTCCAGATTAAGAGTTCAGATAACCCCAAAAACCTAACTAGTATTTTAAAGTTTAATATGAATTACTAGTAGAGATTGTCAACAGAGATGGCCCAGATGGAAAGAGTTCAGATTTTAACGATCACCTAAAAAAAAAAACCTAAACTAGTTTTTTTAAAGTTTAATATGATTCACCAGAAGAGATTGTCGACAGAGATGGCCCAGATGGATCAGTGAAACATATATGTTATATACTTTTATACAGACTTTTATAACATGTTATATAGCATTACATTCAGACTAATATGTTATATACTTTTATAACATGTTATATATCATTACATATCTTCTATATACTTAAAAGTGACAAAATGTGCAATTTAATTCTATAAAACTATTTATTGTTTTTAATTACATATACGGCAAACTAAATGTACTTTTAAGACACAATAACACGCCGAATAAATACTAATTCAGAAAACAAACAACAAAAATCAGCGTTTATACTTATAAAATTTCCACAGGACTAGTTTCGATGGTTTTACCGAACCACCATCCTCAGCTGCAAAACCGCAAATGAACAAGATAGGAAAAAATGATTAGATAAGATAAGATTAGATAAGATTCAATAAAATTCCGAGTTCCATACTTAAGGACCCCATTCCGGATATGAATTCCTGGGGTATTTATAGGATTCCTATAAATACCCCAGTGTGGTTTAATTTACATTGGCCAACTAAGAGAGCCTTAAAATTTCGCGTCAAGGAACATGAGGCATATGTTAGAAAAAAGGAAACACAGAAGTCTTCTGTTGCGCAACATTGTTGCTCTGAAAATCACACTTTCAATTTTTCTGCTGCCAAAATTATTCAAAAAACATCTTCCATTGGAGAACTGGATTTTCTAGAGGCATTTCACATTCATAAAAATCTTTCTGTTCTAGTTAACGATCCTAATTCCAATCCAAATTTGCCTTCGGCCTTTAAAGAAATTATGTTTTAGTTCTGGTTTCACCAACAGATGGCACCACTTGCTTATTCTTGTCCAGGCTTTCTTATCTTATCTAATCATTTTTTCCTATCTTGTTCATTTGCGGTTTTGCAGCTGAGGATGGTGGTTCGGTAAAACCATCGAAACTAGTCCTGTGGAAATTTTATAAATATAACGCTGATTTTTGTTGTTTGTCTTCTGAATTAGTAAATGTACTTTTATTTAAATCAAATGGATTAGAAAGATAAAAAATAATAATAATAATAATAATATTAACTGCACCTATTGCTTTTAAATAAATTGATAATTAATAACAGATTAAATATAATAGAATAATATCTTACATTTTTTCAAAGGGTAACAAACATAAATGAAATCACATTAATGTAAAACAACACAAAATCATATTTCAAGACTAATAGCCCTTTGGATTAAAAAAACAATAGCTAAAAAAAGCTCAAAAGTCAAGCATATTAAATTTGGGAAGCACAAAGGACAGTGTATTTGGATAGTTTAAGGTAATCTGTCTTGTGTGTTAGATCATATAAACAACAATCAACATTCCATGAGGGGATACTTCTCCCTGTTTGAAACTGTAATTTCCGAACATACCTAATTTTTAAAATTTTTTGCATGAAATTTCTCTTTAAGAACAGCCTTACACTGAGTTGCAGTTACAGCTCCTTTCATTAAAAAAAGACAGGGGGACTAAGGATCATTTGACAGTATAATGCAGTAAAAACATGAGTACCTATAAAACTAAACATCAGATTCAAAAACTTTTTCATGTGTCATAATCTTTCCTTAATGAAAGTATCTGTAACTTTTAAACTTTTATGAAAAGCTGTATGTTATATGTTTTGAATTTTTATTTCAATCACACAAATCAATCTTCTGCAATCAAGATATGAAAATTAGATTACATAAAATTTAAAGACGAAGACAAAAATTAAAATCTACAAAAAAATTTAAAAAATAGTCTTTTACTAAGAAAAAAGTTTAAAAAGAATGAAATTAATTTTTATTTAGATAATGAAAGGAAGACTATTTTAGCATATTTGGAAAACCAGTTATACATTGAGAAGTATTTATTTTTTTGAAAAGGTACTTTCTGATTTCTCTCACTCACCCCCAACAAAAAGCCAACTCGCTGGTGACTTTGGGGAACATTTGCAATCTCACTGGCAACTGATTTTTTGACAAGCTAATTCATGAAATGCAACAGCCATTTTTGAAATGGTAGCAAACTAGGAATTCCATAAAAGAGCAATCGGTCAATAAAATTTATAAAGCAAAAGCTGAGTGCATACTGGTTTCCCCCATATATACTTTTGGCGACATTGTGGATTGCCACATAAAGATCTGAGGGAGCCTTGTGGAAGAAGATCATTATGCAACCATTTGAGAGCTTGCTAAGGAGTTAGATGTTAGTCGTATGTCCATTAGTCACACTGTTTATCACATAAACTTGACATACAAGTTCAGTCGCATGAGCAGACTCAAGCAGATAAGGGTAGATGTGTTTGGGAATACACTAATCTGCTTGATTACAAAAGCAAGGACAAAATTCTGGATCGGATCATCATTGTGATGAAAAGTTGATTTATTTCCACAATACAGGGCAAGAAGGGGCTTGGTCTGCGCCCGGTGAGCCTGTCAGCAGCAACACAAAATGTAGTTTGACTAACAAAAAGATCATGTTTTATAGCCGGTGGGACTGCCATAGTATTATCCACAAAGAGTATCTGGGAAAAGGTAAAACCCTTGACAGTAAGGTGTACAACGAAATGCTAGTCCGTGTTAATGCTGCTGTCAAAGAAAAACGTTGAACTGAGTTCTGGCACAAAAAGGTAGTGTTGCACAAGATAATGCAAGACCACATGAGTCTGCATTTACTGCCTGGGATACTACATTTTGCTGGTGCTATCTTCCATTCTGCACAGAATTTCCGAAATGAGGTTGATCTGTTTTTTGACTCACGGCCACCAAGTTTCTGGGCCGAAGGCTATGAAAAACTACCAAAATGTTGGCAAAAAACCATAGCTATGGGTGGTGATTATTACTTGCTAGAGCACTGCTTTCATGCTTTTTTCTTTTTTTTTAACTTTATTAAGATAGCTTTTTCGGCAGAAAACTTTTGTTACAAACAGACATATTGCATGATCTAGAAGTTTGTGTGTGTATATATATATATGTATATATATAATTAATTTAATCTCCTAAGAAATGAAAAGGTAATATTAATATAATGGGATACAATGTATTTAAATTTTTACAATAAATACTTCAAGTATTAAAAATTTAAATACAATAATAAATATATTTTACAAGAAAATCTGTTGTTGAATCCATAAAAAGGTCTTTTATTTTTCAACATGAATTAGTCACAAAATCATCAACAATTCAATTAGATCACATTTCATCTCTATCGCAGTTGTGAAAACTCCTATGCCAAAATGTAAATAGTATGTGTAAAATTTAAATACACACCCCCATTTTGTAAAAATGATAATGTATGTAATACTCACTCACTTTTGGGGAGGGATTACTGTACATGTGCTGCTTTTAAACTTTTAACTGTCATGCCCGAAATTTATTCCAAAATGTCACGCCCAGGCTAATTTGTTTTGAGTGCATCGTATTGTTATACCCAAATATATATCATGAGAAGTTTATTTTGGCTTCAATTCAACAGATGACAGCACTTTACTGAAGGTTTCAAAGGATAGAGGTTAAAGTTCAAAGTGCGCAGCATTATTTTGATTGTGAGGCAAACATTTCATTTTTGGAATAAAAAAGAAAATTGACAATTTATGCACCCACATCATCAAACTAACTTGACAGTTAAAAGATTAAAGATCATGCATATGGCCCACATACATGAGATAAAACATCTGATGGATTTGTTATTTTCACATTATTTGGTATATTGCTTGAAATTTAATACCATTTTCAAGTCGATATCCTTTGCTTCTGTACAAGTTTTAACATAGCGAACAAAACATTTATTTGAACACTAATCGCAAAACAATACACTTATATCTGCTCACCAAAATTTTTATACTGAAATCACATCAAGTACTAATATGAAGACTGCAACAAATTTTGAAATGCATTTCATCAAAATTGCATTGCATAAGCCCAATATATGAGGGTTAAAAATGAATTTTCAAGAAAATATTAAGATTATTTTGAAGGATGTTATGAAAATAAAAGTATAAAGGCTATGTAACAACAAAAAATGCTCAAAATGAATTTCTCAAAGCAACACAGAAAAATTTAACCTAACAATACTATAAAAAGGTTTTAACCACTTACGCTAAAAAGACGTGCCACGCATGTCAAGATGCTTTTGTCTCAAACCGCGAGCAACACAAACACCACGTCGATAGGCATTTATTGCAAAAATGAGAATAACGTGGTGCACACGTCGCCTAACAACAAGATTGTTTATTTCTCGAGTTACAGCTCTGGATTGCACTCGCAGACGCAGAGAGGCGTAAATGAGACACTTTACCGCTTGTTATATTGTAGCGCACGGCACCACAACCATGAAGTTTAGTCATAGCGCAAGTGGTTAAAAAGAATGGCTACATAAACTACACTAACAGTTAAAAAAAATTTTTTTTTCATGCATGCCCAACTATCTGCAGCACTACCAAGCTTTAGTACATTAAGCTGTTGTTCAAGAGATATTTTCTGTTTAAGTTGTTATTGAAACTACCACACAATTTCTATTTTTAATATTTTAAGTAAAACTAAGGAGCAAACATGTTCTATGAATTTGAGTTATAAAATATATATTTTGAACAGCCCATTACTTCAGCGTTCAGTGTTTGTTAAAAGTGATATACAGTGTCAAAAATCATCAAATTTCAATAAAGCTGAGATTACTATCTCTATCCCTGTGTTTATTTTTCTATTTTCTTTTCATCAATTATCAAACATACTTCTAGAAATCTGAATATCTATTACTATACATGGTCTTCAAATTTAGAAGAAAGAGCACAAAGCTACAACGAATGAATTACAGTTTATTAAATTAAACCACTTCTTATTTGACAGAAAACTGATATTAACTAAAATAAGATTGGCTTTAAGTAACCCGATACTAAATTACTTTTCATTACTTATATTAAAATGCTTATAAACAAAGCGATGTAAAATACTGTAAGAAGTATATTAATTATTTATTTTACAGTTCTAAATATTCCATCAATTATCTTGCAATTTATTTAACCATTAACTGTGAGAACTAATATTGTTAACTTAACCTATCTGAATCATAGCAAATTTAATATGAATAAATATTTTAATGTCTATTAAAATGAAAACAGAAATACTTACCAGTCTGAACAGCATGAGATAACATAATATGCTTCGTCAACCTGTCTTTGCCATGTACATATACTGAACAAACAGAGCACTGTAAATGTGGCCCAGGTTGATCTTGCAGGTGCCTTTGCTTCACATGAGTTCTGAGTCTGCTTGGCCTTGATGTGCAATAAGTACAATAGCGACAAACATATGTTTGCATCCTATGCATGGATTTCATATGTTGATGGTGAGATTTAAAATCCACTGAAGGATCACCACACAGTCCACAATAAAAGAAATTTCCAATCTCTGTTACATCAGATTCAGGAACTAGCCTCACTGTTTTATTATGGGCATTAGGATAATGATCTCGAACTTCTGCCAGTGTTTTAAGCGTAGTTTCACAAAATCGGCAGGCAGAGTTCAAAGTTGTTTCTTCATTGACATCTGATGGAACACAGACAAATACAATATTCTCATTAAACTCTGCTTTATTTGTGTGAACTGCTAACTCATGAATAACATGATAGTGCTTTTCGAGATCAGCAGGGAAACGGAGAGAATATTTATTCCTGCAAAATAAGCACTGTAATGTGTTATCATAGGAAGAAAATATTTGCCGAAATAAAAACATGCCAGAAAGTTTATCACAATTATCAGCTTCACTGAGTGGCAGCTCACTTTCAACAAGTTGTACAGAGTTTGGTAGAATCATAGCATTATAATCATCAATAGTTTCCAGTGTGCAGTCTTCAAGAGCTGGACGGGTGTCACCACGTTTTTTCAACTATAAAATACAAATAAAACCTTTCAGAACTACAACAAATAATATATAAAATAAAATATAAAAATAATAACATGTGAGAATTAGTTACATACTATATTGATACTTACAGCATAAGCATATCTGGCACCAGGCTTTTTTGGATCATCATAATCATCGTCGTCATCTTCCATGTACTTAGCTTTTTCAATTTCCCGAATTCTTCCCACACTTCTACGAATTGCTTCAACTTTTGCTGTAGCTTTAAGTACAGCTTTCTGGCGATCATTTCCACTAACTTCTACCATTGTTCCATCTTGCATAACAACAAATACACGATTCTTTTTAATTTCTCTTTCTTCCTTTATTTTTCGACTTACTATTGAACTCTTCCTGCACATAAGCTCACTTAGTGTGGAACCCAAATAGCCTCCATTACTAAGACGACTCAATTGATCTTCTTTACGAGGACGTCCAGGTCTTCGCTTCATTGCCTGAGCACCTCCTCTTCCTCTGCCACTTGGCATTCTTTGAAGAACATCTTGTGTAAACTGAAGAGGTTTTCGTGTTGGGGTTTTTTTCAAAGGACTGAAGTTCGGGTCCTGTATTAATTCACGGAAATTGATACTACCTTCTTGGGATGAAATATTATTAGAAGGAGAAGCATCTTCATCAGCAGGAGCAGAATTTTCATCACCCAACTCGGGAATTAAAATTTTCTCTCCACCTGCAGTAACAAGAGTTTTCATACCACTTTCAGGAGTTGGCTGCACTGGTCTGGATAAAACAGCATTGGTCTTAAATATTGGAGTTACAGTTAATGTTCTCTGACGGAATTCTGGTTTTGAGCCTGAAGAGAATGATGGACTTGCAGTCATGTTTTGCACTATTATATGTCGTTGTGGTTCAAATTTACGAGGCCTACCACGCTTTTTCGTAGATGGGAATTTCCACATTTTGTCCTCAGTCACCCCAGAATGTTGTGGTGGATCTCCACCCCCAAGAGGTATCACTACAGGTCTAGGCAATAATACTCCTTTGGACCCCACAGTTTTGTTACTACGTTTAGATGTGCCATCAGGCAAGATCACATCGTCGTCATCATCATCATCATATGCGCCTGCCAAATCACCTTCAAAATTACTGTCACCTGAGAGATCCATTTCTGATTCAGATATTTTTTCCTGCTTAGTTTTAGCAGATGAAGTAATTGCTTCATCAAAATTTTCAACAATGTAATCATTCCATCTTGATGGCAGTTTGCCACGGCGACGTTTACCAGGTACTACTATTTCTTCAGAATAAGAACCATCTTTTGCATTTTTCATAGAATCATTTGTTTCCTCATCAATAAAACTAGGTGGATCAACTTTTGGCTTTTTCGGTCTACCTGGTCTTTTTTTATGGGTTGTGGTGTTAGACTGCATATATCCATATAAAGTTGCATTTTGTTTCTTTGGTGTATGACCTAATACTTGTACATCATCATCATCAGTAGCTTCAACTTTAATTTTAGGTATGAAATCAGAAACATTTATTGAGTTTTTGGTATTTTCATTGTCCAAAATTATTTCAGGCACTAATTTTTTAGGTCCCAATGAAACTTTAGGATCTAAATTTGATTGCTGCAATAAACTTATTTGATTTTGCTCACCCATAACTAATATGTATTTTCCAGGTTCCCCTGGTTTTGGCAAATAAATTGCTGATGGTCCTTCATTACTAGTACTTTCTGTACTTCCATCTTGTGAGATACTTGGTGGAATACGATTTAAAATTTCCCACATTTTTTCTTGATTTTCATTCTGTTTTGAAACTTTTGAAGTTGCACTTGATTGCTTTTTAGAAGATTCATTAAGTGAAAATTCAAGTTCTCCTAATTCCCGATGTAGACCTAAAACTTGCAATAAAGAATCCGTAGCAACAACTGTTCCAGATACAACATCCTAAAAAATGCAAAAAATACAAAAAAAAATAAAAATTAATAATAAAACAGAAAAAATAATTCATGTACAAAGTTTTAAATTATTTTCAAAAATATACAGAAAGCAGTACATAATTTATTAATGATGGTAAAGGGAGTGATATTTAAAAAGACAATTGTTGCAGCAAGGAAGCTAAACTAAATTTGCAACACCTCGCACCAAAGGAATATGTTGGGGGAAAAGTGCAAAATGATTTGGCCTTTGACAGAAAAGCAGCAATATTTATATCCACAAGATTAACAAAAAAGTATTAACGAAACATCCTTGATTCATATAGCAACGGCTTTTAAATAAATCCTTAAATAGAAACATGTAGTGAAGAATTAGCATTGGAAAAATAAGCATTATGTGCATACATAGGCAAGCAATATAAAAGTTTTGGCCCACTAGCGCCGGTGTAGTAAAGGTGCTGAACACAGTGTTCAATCCGCTGTTTGAATCCTGAGAAACAGACTGGCTGCATGGGCATATTTGGGGGTTTTCCCCATGTGTAAAATGTATACAAATCAGTTTCCTATTAAAGTCCTCCATAAAGGTGTCCGTCCCCTTAAGCAAATAGCCCTCATATGCTTTGCTATAATCAAATAAACCAAACCAAAGTAAAAGTTTAATATTTTTCACGAAGACGATAAATATTCTATCCCCAAGGAAAAAAGCTTGTGATAATTCATCTTTTGTAACTAAAATATCAAGAGAGAAATTTAATGTCCTCCATCCTCCAGTTTAATAAAAACAAACAAACACACCCACACACAAAAAAAAAAGTTTCATTTAAATTAAAAAAGAAACTAATTCATAAGACAAAAATTGGACATTTTTGGTTGTTTTCATCAGTTCGGACACAAATCAGAATTCTTTGCAATACATTCTACACCAATGCACAAAGACTGAAGAATTTTTCACTCGAGCCATGTTTCTTCTAAAATCACAGATGTGAGAATCATTGAAGATGAAATTTTTTGCATAGTAAAGTTCCTCCCTTCCAACAATGTTAAAATGATGTAACTTTGCCATTAAAGTTTTGCTAATGCTGTATCATAGCTAAATATCACAAACTATGTTATCTTATAAATAAAAAGATAGCATTACCACTTTTCTAATCCCAATATTTTCTATTTAATGAAATTTATTCACAAAAATCTGACAGAATGCCAGAAAGTCATCAGACAGTTTAGAACTCAAATAACATTTTGTCCAACAATATTAACTTCGATCAAGTTATAAATATTTTTGTTTTAATGTACAAAGATGCAATAAGATACTGAAATCATAAAAAAAGAATATACATCTGGTCCTAGTTTCAATTTCTTTGCAGGTGATGCCCCACTTCTGTCTTGCAAGGAACGTTTCACTGCAGCTAAACGCCTTTTTTCTTCAAGTTCTTGTCTTCTCTCAAATTCATATATCAGATCCTTACTGTATATATTTTCTTCGGGTTCCCAGCCATTTTGAGAGCTACATTTAATGAAAAATTTCATTTTAAATGAGTTTCTAAATCATGAAGGACAATATGTTATATTATATATTTTAAGAGAAAAGAATAAAAGATATTTAAACCATTCAGACTGGGCAAAACGAGGAAGAAGCACTCCCCCACACCTGCGTGTTTTGTAAATATACATATATGCACAGGACCACATAATTTTCTCTGTTAAGCCTAATTTCATTTAAGTTCATTATCACAATTAAATATGCTGAAATTTACAATTTATTATCATTGATAGATAGAAACTGAATACATTGAAATAAAATTTTCATGACATTATTTAAAAAAAAAAAAAAAAAAAAATTAAGATTTTAGAGAAAATGCTTTCATTTTAATTTTAAAATAGTATATGAGAAAAGTTTAGCATATTATCTCCTATAGTAATTTAAATTGGCCTAAATGTTTCTCAAGTATTAAAAATTTAAAAAGGCAATTTATAATCACTAAAATAGATAAAGCAAATAATAATTTTAGCACTGTTTGAATATTCACACAAAACTTTATAATACTGTAACCTATCAACTAACTAACACATCAAAGACCTCAACCATCAACAAAATTAAAGCGTTTCACAAAAAATCAATATTAACCTCGCACGTAAGGGGAACAATTTTTCCAGTTAGCAACTTACCAGCAAAATCCGCACCAATTAGTAATTTTATCTCTTAATCGACATTAAATGGACCATTTTTTAAATCACTTAATTTGATACCATGTGACTTAAGTTCGCATAACCACAAACTAAATGGGAGTTGTTTAATTTCAGAACAAATTTTGTTTAGACCAAGTACCTCTAATTTACACTTATATTTATTTACTATATATATTGCTTACTTCAATACCATAGTTTTTATACACATTTTCTGAAGTCTCAACACCATCAAAAAGAAATTGCTTAATTTTTGATTCACCAATACACTTACAATTTAACCTTTGAGCAACATCATTACATAAATATGATTTCATAGAACCACAATCATAAATTACTCGTGCAAACATTTCTTTAGTACCATTCTGAATTTTTACAATTCAAGTTTAAAGATATACATTTGATACCTTAGCATAGTTATTAAGAATGCCTGTTTTTTTTTTTTTTTTTTTTTTTTTTTTTTTTTTTTTTTTTTTTTCATCATTCCCTAACTTTGTGACACTTTTTATTTTGTTAGAAGGAAATCAGGGCACATAATCACAAAATGTCGATTTCTACATAAGGTACACCTATGTTTAGCTGTACACTGATTTGCTCTATGGTTTTTCTTAAGACACACAAAACAAACATTCTTCTTCTTAATGATATCTTTCTTACATTCTAAACTCATTAACGATGCATCCTTACAACTTTCAGACAAATGTGATTTTTCACAAAAAAAATACAAGTATCAGAGTTTTTAAAACTTTTGAAAATCTTCATTATACTTACTATTATTACTATTTGCATTAATTAGTTCACATGCAGTTGGAACAACAGGTTTTGTGTCAAAAAACTTATTTTGCTTATTACTTACTTTATCAGAACCCAAAACATCACGGGTAATTTTAACTCTAAATTCAGTTTCTACTTCCCTTTTTAGAAAATCAATTAATGATTCCAAATCACTCTTACCTGTTGTTTCAGGAGACACACCTCATTCTCTTTCCCAAATTTGTATTAAATCTGCAGGAAGTGCTGATTTCACTAAAGGAAACAAAACAACTGCAAATTTATCTTTAGTTAAACCGAGTGATTCCAATGCGCATAGTTGAGTTTGCAACTTGTCATAAAGAGTTAATAAGTCTGTCTTTTGTTTGTCATTGATTACCAGTTTTAATTGCTCTCTAACACAAATTTGAATTAAAACATTTTCATTTCCAAATTGTTCTCTGAGATATTCCACAGCTTTTTCGTTGTTTTCTTCCGTAGCGGGAAAACTTTCCACTATTGCTCTTGGCACAGTCTCAGGGTTTGTATATTGCAGTAGATAATGAAACTTGTCTCTCCGGTCGATGCGAGTATCTTCGTGTATTTTACTAAACTTCATCCAAAATGTCAACCAGTTTCGGGGGTCTCCATCGAACTTCTCCAGTTTGATCTCTGGCAGTTTCCATTTTGCGGTCGTAACTATTCCTGATGAAGAACCGCTATTCGTTGAAACAGTAGAATGCTGTGAACATATATCCTTTTTTCTGTTGGCTTTTACTTTCAACGTAGATAATTTATCGTAATATTCTTGAGCTGAACTAAATTCCCTTTTGTATTCTTCTTGAGTAAAGAGTCATCAGTATTTCGTAAAGTTTTATACTTCCAAGAAATTTGATCTAAAGAAATTTCTAAATCGCCCAAATCTGGAGAATCTGATCGTATCAGTTCTTCCACCTTATTAGCTGTTTTCGTAAATGCATTCCTAATTGCTTTCCGCTTCTGTTTTAGTGTTTCTAAATCCTCCATGTTTGCACCTAGGAACTTCTCTTATTTTCGTAAATTATCAAGTGTCGAAATCGATAATGTCACCCTGTGACATTCATGCTGGCAGGCTCGGCAAATTTGTTGCTCAACCCTTTCAGGATGGGCGTCCCATACACGCATTCCCTAAGAACATCTCTTACAGCCGGTCGTCCCATCCACGCATCGCTAGAGACTGTCCTATGTCCATTACTTTTGAAATGAACACAGTTTTCAGTTCCTGACGTTGAGTTTGATATATTCTGCTTAACTTTGGTATTTTACTCATCAGCTCTTGCGAGGGTGGGGGGGGGAACGTAAACAGAGGTGAGCTCTTTAAATTGCTGCGTGCTAATGAAAACATTCACGTGTCTGATTTATATCCAATTCCTTTTTTTATTCTATTTTTTCCTTTACTATATAAGGTCTTTAGTATGTAGAGTCTTCATTTTTAAATTTTGTTACTTCTTACTGTAAATAGTCTTTACTGTGTTGTTTTATTAATTTAAAATTTTATTGATGGATTTTATCAATTAAAACTTTGGAATAATTTGAGCTTCTGAAAATTATTTTACCAGACAAGCAATTTTTTAAGTATATTTTCATGTAAAATAAAGAAAAAAACATTATTAAGTGCTAATTTTAACATATATAAGAGCTCAAGTAATAATCTAAAAGAATACAAAAAATTACGATGCTAGAAGCAGAAAGTTTTTTATAAAATTAGGCTTAGCGATGCAAAATCTCCGTCCTGCATGGTGACTGCCTTCGATTTCCTTCCGTCCCGCACGAGCGTCTTAAACAAAGGTGCACTGTCGCGAAAAGGTTAATAAATAATTTATAGGTTTGAAAATCTGAGCCGACACTTTTTTAAAAAACCAACATTTATTTTTCACACCATTTCTTATTCAACAAAATCTTAAATGCAACTAACTATCAAACAGAAGTGCAGACGTAGACGTAATGCATCTGGGCATGTGATCCTCGTGGCAGACGAATTCTTTAGGGTTGCCACAGAAAGCAGTGTGTCACCACAGCCTCTGATGTAGTCATGGGACTGTCAAAAGAATTTTTATCAGTTTCATAATTTCACTAAGAACATAATCTAGATTATTTTCCAAGATAAATTTCAGTAGCTCAATTAATTTGCAGTATTCATGAATAGCAGACCTACAATAGAATACTTTTAGTTTAGTTTCAAGCTTTTCTTTGTCAATCACTGGATATGCTTCAGTGGTCAGTACTATTTCTTCTGTACGATGTTCATTCCTAAAACTAGCGCTGGTAGTTCAGTCCGAGGTTCGAATCCCGCGAACGGGCTGGCTGCATGGGCGTTTTCGTGGTTTTCCCCATGTGTAACGTGTATACGAGCCAGTTTCCCTTAGAAAGTCCTCCACGAAAGGCATCCCTCCCCTCAGGCAGATAGCCCTAGCGTGCTTTGCCATAATTAAATATACCAATACCAATACCTAAAACTAGCGAAGCATTTCTTGTTGAACAATTTAGCAGCTACCAAGTGTTTAGTGGAAGAATATCTGTCCATTATATAATACATATAAAGGAACATACTTCCTTAGCTTCTGCCATCAGTGTCTTTCAAAAATTCTCACAGTACTTCGAGTTTTTTAATTCTAAAATACCAGCTTTGAAATTTGTTATATATTCTTTAAATTTAAACACACTAATTTCTCTGGTTTGCATATGGTTGTATATTATTTTAACATGAGGCATAATCTGATAAAAAAGCTCTAACCAAAACTTGAAATTATCATCATTTAGATATTTTAAAATTTCTGTTGCTCCTGCAATAGTTTGATCTGCATTTGATGACTGAATTTCAGTACTGCAATTTTCTAAAGGTCGCAAATTTTCATGAACTCTGTTTATGGTCCATATGTTGAAGTTCCACCTTGTGGAGGAAGCATGTGGAATGCTAACATCTATATGCTTCTTTAGAATGGACACATTATGCGGTGATCTTGAAAAGAATATTGGAATAGCCAGAATGTCAGAAAAAAATATTTTTGCATTTCGTGAAATACTTGCATTTCTCATTATTAAATGAAGTTGATGTGCATGACAGTGAATGAAATGTGCATTAGCATAAACTGCTTTTACTTTTGTTTGAACTCCTGCTTTCTTTGCCTTTCATGACATTTGCACCATCAAATGTCCAAGCTATCAATTTTTGCTCATTTCCTTGAATATGTCCAATTGTCCTAAAATATATTTTGATATGCCATTGCAGTTTGAGTTTCTGGAATAAAGAATCCCCAGAAGTGCTCAAATATTTCTCTATTCAATACATACCGTAGAACAAGAACCATCTGAGTGCATTCCAAAACATCTGTTGTCTCCTCAGGCATTAAAGCTAACAAAAGAAGCTTTTCTGTTTTCCTGTCTTATCTCCTCATGGTATATTTGAAAAAGGCAGTCGAGTATCTCCTTCTGAATGGTCTTAGAAACACCTGTGAAGACTACACTAGTTTCTAAGTGCTTCTTCAAATCTGAGTCTAATTTAGATGCAAAATTTACTAATCCTCTAAATAC